ACATATATATTGTACATTCGCATCAGCCCCTAACCCTCAAGGGGTGTACAATCTAAGGTCCCTAACTCACATTCATACATACACATACTAGGGCCAATTTAGACAGGAGCCAATTAAGCAGCATGTCTTTGGAAAGTGGGAGAAAACTGGAGTACTCAGAGGAAAACTATATACAGTCAGGTCCATAAATATTGGGACATCGACACAATTCTAACATTTTTGGCTCTATACACCACCACAATGGATTTGAAATGAAATGAACAAGATGTGCTTTAACTGCAGACTGTCAGCTTTAATTTGAGGGTATTTACATCTAAATCAGGTGAACGGTGTAGGAATTACAACAGTTTGCATATGTGCCTCCCACTTTTTAAGGGACCAAAAGTAATGGGACAATTGTCTTCTCAGCTGTTCCATGGCCAGGTGTGTGTTATTCTCTCATTATCCCAATTACAATGAGCAGATAAAAGGTCCAGAGTTCATTTCAAGTGTGCTATTTGCATTTGGAATCTGTTTCTGTCAAATCTCAAGATGAGATCCAAAGAGCTGTCACTATCAGTGAAGCAAGCCATCATTAGGCTGAAAAAACAAAACAAACCCATCAGAGAGATAGCAAAAACATTAGGCGTGGCCAAAACAACTGTTTGGAACATTCTTAAAAAAAAAGGAACGCACCGGTGAGCTCAGCAACACCAAAAGACCCGGAAGACCACGTAAAACAACTGTGGTGGATGACAAAGAATTCTTTCCCTGGTGAAGAAAACACCCTTCACAACAGTTGGCCAGATCAAGAACACTCTCCAGGAGGTAGGTGTATGTGTGTCAAAGTCAACAATCAAGAGAAGACTTCACCAGAGTGAATACAGAGGGTTCACCACAAGATGTAAACCATTGGTGAGCCTCAAAAACAGGAAGGCCAGATTAGAGTTTGCCAAACGACATGTAAAAAAGCCTTCACAGTTCTGGAACAACATCCTATGGACAGATGAGACCGAGATCAACTTGTACCAGAGTGATGGGAAGAGAAGAGTATGGAGAAGGAAAGGAACTGCTCATGATCCTAAGCATACCACCTCATCAGTGAAGCATGGTGGTGGTAGTGTCATGGCGTGGGCATGTATGGCTGCCAATGGAACTGCTTCTCTTGTATTTATTGATGATGTGACTGCTGACAAAAGCAGCAGGATGAATTCTGAAGTGTTTCGGGCAATATTATCTGCTCATATTCAGCCAAATGCTTCACAACTCATTGGACGCCACTTCACAGTGCAGATGGACAATGACCCAAAGCATACTGCAAAAGCAACCAAATAGTTTTTTAAGGGAAAGAAGTGGAATGTTATGCAATGGCCAAGTCAATTACCTGACCTGAATCCGATTGAGCATGCATTTCACTTGCTGAAGACAAAACTGAAGGGAAAATGCCCCAAGAACAAGCAGGAACTGAAGACAGTTGCAGTAGAGGCCTGGCAGAGCATCACCAGGGATGAAACCCAACGTCTGGTGATGTCTATGCATTCCAGACTTCAGGCTGTAATTGACTGCAAAGGATTTGCAACCAAGTATTAAAAAGTGAAAGTTTGATTTATGATTATTATTCTGTCCCATTACTTTTGGTCCCTTAAAAAGTGGGAGGCACATATGCAAACTGTTGTAATTCCTACACCGTTCACCTGATTTGGATGTAAATACAGTCAAATTAAAGCTGACAGTCTGCAGTTAAAGCACATCTTGTTCGTTTCATTTCAAATCCATTGTGGTGGTGTATAGAGCCAAAAATGTTAGAATTGTGTCGATGTCCCAATATTTATGGACCTGACTGTATATATATATATATATATATATATATATATATATATATATATACATATACTGCACAGTGGCTAAATGGTTAGCACTTCCACCTGGCAGTATTAGGGTCATTGGTTCAATTCACAACCACAGCACCACCCACCTGAAGTTTTCATGTGCTTGTGTGGTTTTCCACTGGATACTCCAGTTTCCTCCCACACTCCAAAGACATGCTGGTAGGTTAATTGGCCCTAGTATGTGTACGTATATACATGATTTTTTTTCCCAGCAGGAACGTGGGGGAATGCAGTTCTGGCATCTCCAGCACTGAATGTATGTCGTGGGAAGGGGTTCTGGGGTGTGCTGGAGAATCTACTGATGCTGGCTGCTGGGGGGGATACTTTTGCATGGGGAATTTATTATTGCTGGTGGGGAACCTATGTTGCTGAGGGGGTCAGTTGTTGCTGGAAGGGATCTACTGTTGAGGGAGAGGCCTATTGATGTTGGCTGTTCGGCGATCTATTGTTGCTGCTGGGGTCATTGTTGCTGGATGGATCTTTTGTTCCTGAGGTAGTATTTTGTTGTGGGGATCAGGCAGTTACTCTATGAGAGCTGGACAGGGCCATAGAAGGTCCTTAATCCATCAGCAGGAGCTGCTTCTTTGTGCAAGGAGGAACAGGATGAGCACTGCTAGAGCCCTACAAAATGACCTCCAGCAGGCCACTGGTGTGAATGTCTCTGACCAAACAACCAGAAACAGACTTCATGAGGGTGGCCTGAGGGCCCGACATCCTCTCATGGGCCCTGTGCTCACTGTCCGGCACCATAGAGCTTCATTGGCATTTGTCATTGAACACCAGAATTGGCAGGTCCGCCACTGGCGCCCTGTGCTTTTCACAGATGAGAGCAGGTTCACCCTGAGCACATGTGACAGACGTGAAAGGATCTGGAGAAGCCATGGAGAATGTTCTGCTGCCTGTAACATCGTTCAGCATGACCGTTTTGGTGGTGGGTCAGTGATGGTCTGGGGAGGCATATCCATGGAGGGACACACAGACCTCTACAGGCTAGACAATGGCACCCTGACTACTATTAGGTATTGGGATGAAATCCTTTGGACCCATTGTCAGACCCTACACTGGTGCAGTGGGTCCTGGGTTCCTCCTGATGCATGACAATGCCCGGCCTCATGTGGTGAGAGTATGCTGGTAGTTCCTGGAGGATGAAGGAATTGATACCATTGAATGGCCCCCCACGCTTGACTGGCCTAAATCCCATAGAACACCTCTGGGATGTCATGTTTCAGTCAATCCGATGCCACCAGGTTGTACCTCAGACTGTCCAGGAGCTCAATGATTCCCTGGTCCAGATGTGGGAGGAAATCCCCCAGGACACCATCCGTCATCTCATTAGGAGTACGCCCCGACGTTGTCAGGCATGCATACAAGCACATGGGGGCCATACAAACTACTGAGGACCATTTTGAGTTGCTGCAATGAAATTTCAGCAAAATGGACTAGCCTGCTGCATCATTGTTTCACTTTGATTTTTGGAGTGTCTTTGAATTCAGTCCTCTGTAGGTTGAAAATTTTAATTTCCATCAAACGATGGGGCATCCTTACGTTCCTAACACATTACCCAGTCAGTATAGAGATCCAGCATGACATTTTTCCCCATTGAGATCTGATGTGTTTTCAAGGCGTTCCTTTAATTTTTGAGCAGTGTGTATATACAGTATATATATATATATATATATACACTCACACACTTTATATATACAGAGCACTGGGCATTTAATATACCCAGTTTTCTTCTTTCAACTCGCTTTTTTTTTTTCTGGTATCCAGTTCTAGTTTTTTTTTTTAACTCGTAACAACCGAAACAAAACAAGAAAAAAATTACCTTGATGAAGAGTCCTTGAGGAATTGATGTTTAAATGTTGTGCCAATCAAACGGAAGCGACAAAACTAAAATGCTGGAATATATTGAAGTGTAGTGAAGCTTTTTGGAGGAGAATGGAAAAAGCAATGACCTCCACACTTGCTTTTAAATAGAAGTCTATATCAATTTCTATGGGTGGCAAAACATAGCGGGCCCAGGTCAGGCTGCGACTCCTGTTTATTTCCGCGTGATTTAATACAACTGCCTGAAATTCAGTATATCTCGGAGAAGCAGGTTGCATACTGACAAATTAGATGCCTCTCATTCTTTTTCTTTATGGCGAAGTACGTGACCCCCCTCACCCAGATTCTAGACTCTCCAAAACTTGATATTGTTTTTAAGGTAGCACAGCTACAGTGCGTATTAATAGGCATCGATTAACACTCACAGACACAGCTGAAGTGTGAAAATCATGTTTAGCAACAATTATAGCTGTAGCCTATGGCTTTAACTCAAAAGAGTTTAAAGCTGAAGTTTAGTCTGCTTATATTTTACCTTTCCTGGTTCCTCTTTTACCTCCTCATCAAAAGTTGATGAAAAACCTTTTTTCCATTACATACCTTATTTTTAGACCCATTGATGTCATTACCTGGTAACTCTGTGCTTCTCTAGGCAATACAGGCAGATCACGGCTGGTAGGAGAGGTTGGCAGCATGTTCACAGGACCCTGCCTTAGTACTCCTCTCAACAGCTCTCATTCTTGATGCAAGCAGTGGGCTAGCTCTCAGGAGTAGTTATGGAAATATTAAAATGCCTTGATGGGTCCATCTCAGTCTAAAGAAGTGGGAATTGCTAGGCAGGCTCTATATGAAAGCAGACCAGCCTGGGCAACCCACCATGTAATGCTGATCCTCCATGATTGAAAGAACTGAAATTCAATGAATGAAAGGGGTGGGGCAGAGACAATCAGGATGGAGAAAGGAGCAAGATGATGCTGGAGGTCACCAAATCAGGAAATAAGGCGGGCTATGTCTGACTTGCAGCTTTTATTGCACACTTTAAAAAGCTCACAGTGAATGTAAACAATATCAATACAGGAAAGGAGCTTGTGCAACTGCAAAGGTAAGGCTGGAGTTTAGTTATACAGGTTTTGAAATTTGAAAAAAATGTATAAAGCTTAAAGTGGTTGTAAACTTCAGACTTGAAATATGAACAAAGAATATCCCTCTATAGCAGAAATCTCCAAACTGGCCCACGGGCCGAATGTGGCCCTTTGCCTGCCTTTATCTGGCCCTTGGGGCACTATTTCTTCCACTTATATGAGGCATTATTCCTCCCACTGGTACCAAGGACATAGCACTATTCCTCCCACTAACACCAACAATGGGGTACTATTCCTCCCACTGATAGAAATGATGGGGCACTATTCTCACTGACACCATTGATGGGACACTATTCCTCCCACTGACACCAATGATGGGGCAGTATTCCTCCCACTAACACCAATGATGGGGCACTATTCCTCCCACTGATACCAATTATGGGGAACTATTCTTCCCACTGGAACCAATGATGGGGCATGTAATGCCCATGAAATGTGCTGGCCTTGGGCCCTTTGTTTCCTCGGGGATTTTTACAATAAATCTTTGCTGCCCATATGCCAGAAGCGCGGGGAATGACACTGATGTCATTTTCTAGGCTAAGGGAAACTTACAGAGTCACAAGACATTAGAACTGTTAAAGTTAGATTAGATAAGATTTATTTGTGTAGTTAGAAATGTTTACTTGTTTGTGAAGTTAGAATTAGGTGTAATAAATAAGACTTGTTTGTGCAGTTAGGTGACTGGGTGTGACTCTGTTACCTCACAGAACCTTTCAGTGTTTTTCGGCAAAAACACTTCTTGGAACGGGTAAAGGCGCCGCCCGCTCTCGGAATGTGGCCAGAGGCACTGAACCAGGATATTTAAGAGAGGCCTGGAGAAGATGAGATTGGAGGTCTACCCATGCGTGTGGGGGACGCTCCAATGCTGGGACTTTTTCCGAAGCTGCCTGACCTCATCGGTCGATCGTGCTTTAGGCTTCTCCACAATCTCCTGTGCACTGTGGTTTTGATGAGGACTCTTCCTTCCCTTCTTCCCGTAGCTTTGGTAATGTATTAATTCTATGCTGTGACTCTGTCAAAAGATGTGTTTGTTTCATGCTGTAATACTCACATTATTATTGATGTGTTTTATTATGCGGATTGTGATGGCCATAAGATATATCCTCCTGTGTGTTGTGTGACAATAAAAGTGGAGATTTTGACAGTTCAAGAACACTGAAGTTGGATTCTGTTATTTCTTGGGGTGCTGAGTGAATGCTGCATAATGTGCCAGGGCAGCTTTACATTTGGTAGTGTGTCTCTCACAAGCTTAGGAACTATGGTGTGAGTGCTGGTTGATTGTACCTGTGCAGTGAGTGTGACTTGCTCTTGGTGTTTGTGTCCAGCCTTGTATTACTAGTCCTCCTACTGACGCCAACAATGGAACAAACAAACAAGGGGTTTAGTTTACACACATTTGCAAATATAGGCGTAAGCTGCAGCAGCCAATGCATGGCACCCCAGTATATCTGCAGTTCTAATGTTATAACTTTTGAGAGTCTCACTATTTCTCCCACTGATACCAATGATGGGGCATTAAAAATTCACCTAATGCCAAAGATGGTACATTATTTACTCCAACTGATGCCAGGACATTTTCTACTCCCATTGGCCCCAGTCCTGCCCCCCTAAAGTCTGAAACGCAGTAAACTGGCCCTTTGTTTAGAAAGTTTGGAGACCCCTGGTATGGAGGAACCCAAGTGGCATTTACAGGACCTTGACCTAAACACCTTTAGACTCAGTTCACACTTGTGCTTCAAAATCGTGCAATTTTCATTGTGACTTTACAGTATGACTTGATGCAATTTTGGTGCGACTTTGGCTTTGACCAAAGATGAAAGTTGCATATAAGTCGCATGTATGTCATTCAGGTACGACTTTCATACGACTTTGGAGGGTTTGCATTGAAGTCTATGGTCCTCAAGTCACATGACAATCAGACCAAAGTAGTGCAGGAACTACTTGAAGTCGCAAAGATATGAATGTTACTCATTGGGAAACATGGGGTTTTACTTGTCATGGGACTCTGGACCCCAAAGTCACATGACAAATTGCACAAGTGTAAATGGAGCCTTAGGAATGATCTGGTACATAAACTACATGCATGGTTTTCTCGTCCAACCTCAGTACCCCGACCTCACAAATGCTCTTTTGGATGAATGGGCACAATTTCCCACAGAAACACTTCAATATCTTGTGAAAAGTCTTTCCAGAAGAGTGGAGTCTGTTATAGTGACAAAGGGGAGCCAAATACCTATGAATGCCCATAATTTTGAAATGGGAACTCCAACAAGCTAGGTGTGACAGTCAGGTGTCCATAAGCTTTTGGCCATACAGTGTATGTAGGCCAACATTGCTGACCTTTGGTTAATATTAGTTACCTGCTCCCTGGCTGTCATAGTGATGCACTGGTTTTAATACCTTTTGAGCTAATTATCCAGAAATTGCAAGCAGCTCAACTGTTCTGTCTTCTTTTCCACATGATTTTTTCAGGTCATTGACTCAGAAAGCATTGGAGCCAGAGACAGATAATTAGCACTTTCAGAAAGAGGTCAACAACGGCAGCCCACATGTCTTTTCAGGCAGGCATCTCTTTTAAAGACCCTGAAATTAGTTCTCTTCTCTTGTAAGCTGATTGGAATGACCATCTTGGTGCTGGAGTGTAGGACAAACTTGCATTGTCTATGGGTAAGAGGTCTGACTCAAGAGGTAAGGAATTGGTTTCAGGTCTATCACAATAAAACTGAATGTATATAGACGTCATACACTCACCGGCCACTTTATTAGGTACACCTTGCTAGCACCAAGAAAATATCTTCCACACCATTACACCACCACCAGCCTGAATCGCTGATACAAGGCAGGATGGATCCATGCTTTCAAGATAAGCCCAAAGCAAAAAAAAAAAAAAAAATAGGTGAAAGGCTACATGACAAGACTGACAGGGTATACAAGGCAGGACAGGGTTAATTTATAGTTGGTCAGAAAGGCGGTCATTTACCAGATTGGGAGTTTGCGGAGAGTAGGTGGAGCTGCTAGGGGGTACACGAGAAGGAGACCTAAAGAGTGTAAAGATCCTTGGGAGCAGTGGACGTGAAAGAATCTTCCCGCCCTCCAGCCCTGCTGTTTGTTTTTGTTCGGGCTCTAGGGCCTTTGGCGGTTGGGGTCTTTGGAGGCGTTAACATTTTCAGAACAGTTCATAGCAGTGACCCATCTAAGGTATGGCGTCCTCTGTTGTATCCCAGTTAATGGAGTATTATCTGGGAAGTGGTAATAGATTGGTATCTGCAGAGAAGTGGTAATAGATTGGTATCTGCAAGACTGTGTTTTGTGGCTGGGGATCGTGAAGTAGTAACACAGATACACGACCTGATGTTGGTTCTCCAGTGTCTCTCAAGACCGGCAACCTATATGTTATGTCAATTGGTTTATGAATATGTTTTCTGTTTTAAGGAATGTTATTTTGGTTTATTTGTTAAACAAACGACCAAGCTGGCCAATTTTCTCCAGATTGGGCCTTTGGTCATTTTTTAATTAGTGTAAGCTGGAAAGGGTATCTTTAGTAAAATCTAGAAGGACTTGGAGACATATGGGTTACCCTAGTCATGTTGTTTACGCCAAATTCTGACCCTACCATCTGAATGTCGCAGCAACCAGTCTGCCCATTTTTCTCTGACCTCTGACATCAACAAGGCATTTTCCTCCATACAACTTCTGCTCACTGGATATATTTTTCTTTTTCGGACCATTCTCTGTAAACCCTATAGATGGTTGCGCGTGAAAAATCCCAGTAGATCAGCAGGTTTTTAAATACTCAGACCAGTCCGTCTGGCAGTAACAACCATGCCACGTTTAAAGTCACTTAAATGCCCTTTCTTCCCCATTCTGATGCTAAGTTTGAACTTCAGAATGTCGTCTTCATCACATCTACATGGCTAAATGCATTAGGTTGCTGCCATGTGATTGGTTGATTAGTAATTTGTGTTACTCTGTAATTGGACAGGTGTACCTAATAAAGTGCCAGTGAGTATATCTTTCTTAAAAGGACTTGAAGCATATCACAGGGTAAAAAAAAAAAACTGTTTCCCACTCCGCACACTTCTACCTACATTTGTTTAATCTTCTAAGATCCACAAAACCATAACACACACTCACACCATCCTCTGCAGTGCCTTTTCCAGTAGTGGAGACTTATTGTCTATGCTGGTCCAGCCAACTAGTCTTGTTCCTACTGAAGGCTTCAGGACCCTGTGATGGACTTTCCTGGTAGCCAATGGGCAGTTCCCAGGTCAACCAGCCTTGTTTCCGCCCCTTGCATGATGTCCCTACTGAAGGCTTCAGGACCCTGTGATGGACGTTCCCGATAGCCAATGGGCAGTTCCCAGGTCAACTAGTCTTGTTTCTGCCCCTTGCATGATGTCCCTACTGAAGGCTTCAGGACCCTGTGATGGATGTTCCCGATAGCCAATGGGCATTTCCCAGGTCAACTAGTCTTGTTTCCGCCCCTTGCATGCTGTCCCTACTGAAGGCTTCAGGACCCTGTGATGGACGTTCCCGATAGCCAATGGGCAGTTCCCAGGTCAACTAGTCTTGTTTCCGCCCCTTGCATGCTGTCCCTACTGAAGGCTTCAGGACCCTGTGATGGACGTTCCCGATAGCCAATGGGCAGTTCCCAGGTCAACTAGTCTTGTTTCCGCTCCTTGCATGCTGTCCCTACTGAAGGCTTCAGGAACCTGTGATGGACGTTCCCGATAGGCAATGGGCAATTCCCAGGTCAACTAGTTTTGTTTCCGCCCCTTGCATGCTGTCCCTACTGAAGGCTTCAGGAACCTGTGATGGACGTTCCCGATAGGCAATGGGCAGTTCCCAGGTCACCAAGTAGTAATATGGACACTGCAGATTGATTGGATTCCTCCACACTACAGGACAGACAAAAGAAGACCCAGGACATGGCTTGTCATGTGCTGGAGTCTTACAGTAAATATGTAATTAGGACTTTGAGGCAGATTAAAAAAAAATATATATATAGATAAGTATGGGGGGGTTGGGGCTGGAGAGGATTTTTTTTTTTATCTTTGAAGATTAGCATTAAATCATGCACGCAGTCACCTCATGGTTTCCAGCGATGGTTGCGATGTGAAGAGCCGTTAGAGCACCATAGCCCACCTGCTGGATGTCAGCCCCACCGTGCAGCAGCGCTGTCAGGAGCTCAGCGTTGTCCTAACAAAACGAATATAATTTACAATCACTGCATTTCTGGTAAGAAGAAACACACAAAACCAGAAGAAACATCAATGTGCATCATATTCTATACTGAAAAAGCAAACTATACAGTACTGGAGCATGCAGCAATTTTGCTTTTTCCTTTAAATGATCTAGGACTAAATGCTGACAGCGTTTTTTGTCTACAAACTGTTTATTGACAAAGAGGCAATGGTAAAGTCATCAATCTATACATGAACAATTAGGCTCCATGCACACTGGACGTTGTAATAACGCTGGTAGTGTTAGCTGTGTAAAGTAACGTTAAAAAACACACAAGTTTTCACATTTTTCCACATTTGTGTTTTTGTAGACAGAAAAAAAAAAATTTTTTTTGCTCAAAAAAAGCCCAATGTTTACTGCATTTTTCAGCGCTTAAGGGTGCATGTACACTGCAGCTGATAAACTCACATTCAGGAGATTTTCTGCGTTTTTTTCAGCAGCCCCTGAACTCTTCCTAATGTTTTCCTATGTGTCCATGTACAGTCATTTACAAGCAGTTGAGAGTTTACAGTCGTTTTTTTGAACGCACCAAATTGGTTTCAGGAGTAGATTTTATCAGCATTTCAAACCCCAAATGCTTTTAAACACGTGTAAACGCGGCTAACCGCGTTTATAAGTGTTTGCGGTTAGAAGCATTTTTTAACTGTTCCATGTCCAGATGCTGTCCAGAGCCTTTTTTCATCATCAGAAATGCATGCAAAGCATTTTCCATGTATTCAAATGGACCCGGTACACCAGCGCAGTCAGTTCCAGGTTTCGTGTGAAGGAAACAATGGTAGAACGCACCGCCTTATGCTCATGATGGGATCCATAGTGAATACAACCAGAAAAGCCAGGTCATCTCAACACATACTGCTCTCTCTGCTTCTGCTCTCTCTATTTCTCTCAAAATGTCTGAAATAGTTAATTTTTTACTGTTTTTCATTTTGGAAGATCTCCTGAGGTTATCTTAAACTTCTAAACGCAAACGCTCATAAATGTGCATAAACGTGGTATGCAAACGCGGCTAAACAGACATTTTTTAACCTACGTTTTCCAGCAGTCAGTTTCCATCATTCAAAAGTGTTTTCCAAACGTCCCGTGTACATGGAGCCTTAGAGCGTTTTTACAGCTAAAAAACTCCTCTAGAAACCCACTAGTTCTGGGCTTTTTTTTTTCCAGCCAAAAAAACGCCGATCAAAGCCTATGTGTGCATGGACACATGGGATAACATGCTGGGGAGTTTACTGGCTATAGGAAAAAAAAAACACCAAAAGCCAAAAACAGCCGCTGTAAAAACATTCAGCGTGCATGGGGACTTAAATCCAGATGACTGTATAAAAAGAATCATATACCCGGCCAACAAGGACATAAAGGTTCAAGAGAACAAAAATACAAAAATGTTTTGATACACAGATTGGGAGCTGGCTGTTACACAGACAGCTGAGCCCTGCAGAGTACAGAACCACTCTCCCGGTGTGACAGCTGGTCTAGCTCTGTGTATGGAAAGGGCTGACAACGTCTCCCTGCAAGATTATTGCTTAAGGCTTGAGAAAGGGGCTAGATGCCTAGAAATCTGTTGCCATTGTTTTCTGCAGACAGCTTTGTAGGTCACATGATGTGCCTCTCTCCTGCAGCTTTTCGGTTCTGTTCCTGATGCTGCGCTGGTGAGCTGTTTGAATTTGAATCCTGGATCTTTTCCTCCTCACCTGTCATCCTGTGATTTTTTGAGTATTGCTGATTCTGCTCCATCAAGGTGCTGATATCCCTGATCTTTGATGTACAGGTGAAACTCAAAAAATTTGAATATCGTGCAAAAGTTCATTTATTTCAGTAATGCAACTTAAAAGGTGAAACTAATATATGAGATAGACTCATTACATGCAAAGCAAGATAGTTCAAGCCGTGATTTGTCATCATTGTGATGATTATGGCTTACAGCTCATGAAAACCCCAAATCCACAATCTCACAAAATGAGAATATTGTGAAAAGGTGCAATATTCTCGGCTCAAAGTGCCCCACTCTAATCAGATAATTAAGCCATAACACCTGCAAAGGGTTCCTGAGCCTTTAAATGGTCTCTCAGTCTGGTTCAGTAGGAATCACAATCATGGGAAAGACTGCTGACCTGACAGTTGTGCAGAAAACCATCACTGACACCCTCCATAAGGAGGGAAAGCCTCAAAAGGGAATTGCAAAAGAAGTTGGATGTTCCCAAAGTGCTGTATCAAAGCACATTATTAGAACGTTATATGGAAGGGAAAAGTGTGGAAGAAAAAGGTGCACAAGCAGCAGGGATGACCGCAGCCTGGAGAGGATTGTCAAGAAAAGGCCATTCAAAAGTGTTGGGGACTTTCACAAGGAGTGGACTGAGGCTGGAGTCAGTGCATCAAGAGCCACCTCACACAGACGGATCCTGGACATGGGCTTCAAATGTCATATTCCTCTTGTCAAGCCGCTCCTGAACAACAAACAACATCAGAAGCGTCTTACCTGGGCTAAAGAAAAACAGACCTGGTCTGTTTCTCAGTGGTCCACAGTCCTCTTTTCTGATGAAAGCAACCTTTGCATCTCATTTGGAAATCAAGGACCCCGAGTATGGAGGAAGAAAGGAGAGGCACAAGGACCCCAAGTATGGAGGAAGAATGGAGAGGCACACACTGCAAGATGCTTGAAGTCCAGTGTGAAATTTCCACAGTCTGTGTTGATTTGGGGAGCCATGTCATCTGCTGGTGTTGGTCCACTGTGCTTCAGTAAGTCCAGGGTCAACGCAGCCGTCTACCAGGAGATTTTGGAGCACTTCATGCTTCCTTCCGCAGACGAGCTTTATGGGGATGCTGACTTCATTGTCCAGCAGGACTTGGCACCTGCCCACACTGCCAAAAGCACCAAAACCTGGTTCAATGACCGTGGGATTACAGTGCTTGATTGGCCAGCAAACTCGCCTGACCTGAACCATAGATAATCTATGGGGCATTGCCAAGAGAAAGATGAGAGACATGAGACCGAACAATGCAGAAGAGCTGAAGGCCGCTATTGAAGCATCCTGGTCTTCCATAACACCTCAGCAGTGCCACAGGCTGATAGCTTCCATGCCATGCCGCATTGAGGCAGTAATTGCTGCAAAAGGGGCCCAAACCAAGTACTGAGTACATATGCATGCTTATACTTTTCAGAGGCCCAATATTGTTCTATGTACAATCTTGTTTTATTGATTGCATGTAATATTCTCATTTTCTGAGATTGTGGATTTGGGGTTTTCATGAGCTGTAAGCCATAATCATCACAATTATGACAAATCACGGCTTGAACTATCTTGCTTTGCGTGTAATGAGTCTATCTCATATATTAGTTTCGCCTTTTAAGTTGCATTACTGAAATAAATGAACTTTTGCACGATATTCTAATTTTTCGAGTTTCACCTGTAAGTGGATGCTTATTTTATACTGAATAAAGTATACCTGTTTTATTTCTTCTTTATTAACTCTGCAACTTTCCGTACTTTCCAGCTCATATTTAAAAACAACATTTTACTAGTTGTTTTTGATTATTACGTTTTATTTAGTGCTGCATTAGAGAAAACATGTGCCTTGACAGGCGTACCTCGGTTTACGAACGCCGTGGTTAACGTAATTTTCTGTTTAGGAATGAAAATCCGTTGAAAATAATGCCTCGGTTTACAAATTTTTTTCGCAATATGAAGTAAGTTACTCCAGGATGCATTGTGCCTGGGAGGTTTATAGTGCTGGGCCCGTGCCTTTAAAGTCCACTTTATAAAGAGTTTTGAACAGATAAAACTTTTTTTTACTTCTTTCTGACCTCCGAAACGGATTAATTGGTTTTCAATGCATTTACGAATTAATTGTTAATCATGAATGAGTTGAGGATTTATATATACTTTAACAATGATTATCTTCCGATCATTAGAATTTGCAGTCTAGTACCTGTCCACTAGTCAGCTCATTAGGACAGCACTACAAAGCACCTCCTATCCATGACAGAGAACACAGAGGACCTTCTGCTGTACATCATACCTTATAGGCCGCCATGTGTAGCGCAGTGAAGCCGTTTTTAGTTAGTCTGGACGGTCTTAATCCTTTCAGCATTAACGTTCGAACATGAGACTTTGTACCTGCAATGGAAAAACATGGCTGAAATGCAATTTGCAGCAGCAGTTACCATGTATTTCTGCTATATGCTTCATATCCTGAAGTACAGATCCAGCCAAAAATCCTTTTTTTAAATTTGGATTTAGTAGGAGAAGAATTACTGTATTTTTCGCTCCATAAGACGCACTTTTTTCCCCCAAAAAAATTGCGGGGAAATGTCTGTGCGTCTTATGGAGTGGCCAGGCCGGTATTCCTGCTGCCGCAGCCATGTTGGATTACAAGGCTGGCCGCACGGCTCTTCTGTGCAGCAGAACCTGCTCCTCAGTCCTGCCTGTTCCTCGGTCCAGAGGTGTTCTGCTTTCACAAGACTACGGGGAGGACAACTCCGTGGAAGTGGGAGCAGGTACCTGCCAAATTCGCACTCTCTGGTGATCTCCTGGGGTATGTCCGCAGTCTCTGGTCATCTCCTGTACTATGTCTGTAGTCTCTGGTCATCTCCTGTACTATGTACGCAGTCTCCGGTCATCTCTTGTACTATGTCTGCAGTCTCTGGTCATCTCCTGTACTATGACCGCAGTCTCTGGTCATCTCCTGTACTATGTACGCAGTCTCTGGTCATCTCCTGTACTATGTACGCAGTCTCTGGTCATCTCCTGTACTATGTACGCAGTCTATGGCCAACTCCTGTAATATGTCAGCAGTCTCTGGTCATCTCCTGTAGTATGTCCGCACTCTCTGGTAATTTCCTGGAGTATGTCCGCAGTCTCTGGTCATCTTCTGCACTATGTCCGCAGTCTCTGGTCATCTCCTGTACTGTGTCCGCAGTCTCTGGTCATCTCCTGTACTATGTATGCAGTCTCTGGTCATCTCCTGTACTGTCCGCAGTCTCTGGTCATCCCCTTTACTGTGTCTACAGTCTCTGGTCATCCCCTGTACTGTCCGCAGTCTCTGGTCATCTCCTGCACTATGTATGCAGTCTCTGGTCATCTCCTGTACTGTCCGCAGTTTCTGGTCATCTCCTGTACTGTGTCTGCAGTCTCTGGTCATTCCCTGTACTGTGTCTACAGTCTCTGGTCATCTCCTGTACTGTGTCCGCAGTCTCTGGTCATTCCCTGTACTGTATCCGCAGTCTGTGGTCATTCCCTGTACTGTGTCAGCAGTCTCTGGTCATCTCCTGTACTGTGTCCGCAGTCTCTGGTCATTCCCTGTACTGTGTCAGCAGTCTCTGGTCATCTCCTGTGCTATGTCTGCAGTCTCTGGCCATGTCTTGTACTATGTCCGCAGTCTCTGGTCATCTCCTGTACTATGTACGCAGTCTCTGGTCATCTCCTGTACTATGTATGCAGTCTATGGTCAACTCCTGTAATATGTCAGCAGTCTCTGGTCATCTCCTGTAGTATGTCCACACTCTCTGGTAATTTCCTGGAGTATGTCCGCAGTCTCTGGTCATCTTCTGCACTATGTCCGCAGTCTCTGGTCATCTCCTGTACTGTGTCCGCAGTCTCTGGTCATCTCCTGTACTATGTATGCAGTCTCTGGTCATCTCCTGTACTGTCCGCAGTCTCTGGTCATCCCCTTTACTGTGTCTACAGTCTCTGGTCATCCCCTGTACTGTCCGCAGTCTCTGGTCATCTCCTGTACTATGTATGCAGTCTCTGGTCATCTCCTGTACTGTCCGCAGTCTCTGGTCATCCCCTTTACTGTGTCAACAGTCTCTGGTCATCTCCTGTACTGTCCGCAGTTTCTGGTCATCTCCTGTACTGTGTCTGCAGTCTCTGGTCATTCCCTGTACTGTGTCTACAGTCTCTGGTCATCTCCTGTACTGTGTCCGCAGTCTCTGGTCATTCCCTGTACTGTATCCGCAGTCTCTGGTCATTCCCTGTACTGTATCCGCAGTCTCTGGTCATTCCCTGTACTGTGTCAGCAGTCTCTGGTCATCTCCTGTACTGTGTCCGCAGTCTCTGGTCATTCCCTGTACTGTGTCAGCAGTCTCTGGTCATCTCCTGTGCTATGTCTGCAGTCTCTGGCCATGTCTTGTACTATGTCCGCAGTCTCTGGTCATCTCCTGTACTATGTCCGCAGTCTCTGGTCATCTCCTGTACTGTGTCCGCAGTCTCTGGTCATCTCCTGTACTATGTCCGCAGTCTCTGGTCATCTCCTGTACTATGTCCGCAGTCTCTGGTCATCTCCTGTACTATGTCCGCAGTCTCTGGTCATCTCTTGTACTGTGTCAGCAGTACATTGGTTCAGAATATTTTTTTTTCTTGTTTTCCTCCTCTAAAATCTAGGTGCGTCTCATGAAGCAAAAAATATGGTAAAACCAGTGTCAGTGTTTTTTTTGATCTATCTATCTACTCCATATGCTGTGTGTGTGTGTATATATATGTATATATTTATTTATACTTATACAGTTTGTTTTTAGGTGGTTAGGAGGAAATATATATTTTACCTGTTGCCACCCACATAAGTCTAGATTCACACCAATGCATTTTCCGCTGTGTTTTTCAGATATACACAGCAGTCCATTTAAAAATGATTTCCTATGGGACAGGATCACATCTCCGCGTTTTCACCCGGTGCGTTTTTTGGAAAGGGTCAGGGACTTCTTTAAACGGAAAATGTTGCGTTTTTGGTTCTATAGACTTCAATGGAGATGCTTCAGAAAAGCATGCAGTGCATTTTTGATGCATTTTGTGTTTTATTCTGCACAGCAACAAGTTGAAAAAACAAAAAAAGCAAATGCATCAAAAATGCACTACATGCAAAAACTCAAAACACACCTCAAAAAGCACTGCAGAAAGGGATCAGAGGCAAACTGCATAGGCGTGAACCTAGCCTAACACATATACAGTTGTATTCAAAATAATAGCAGTGTATTGAAAAAAGTGAATAAAGCTCAAAATCCTTCTAATAGCTTTTATTTCCATCCACACAAATGCATTGGGAACACGACACATTCTATTCCAAATCAAAACATGAAGAAAAATATATCAAATTTGTGTTGTTCCTCTAAAAAAATTGAAGAAAAGTGAATATTAGACTGTTCAAAAAAATAGCAGCATTTGTATTCTTCTTTACAAACTCAAACATTCACTATATAAACTGAAAAATGTTTGAAGATTTTGCTTTCCTTTGAATCACTTCATGAATATTTGGTTGTAGTCGCACTGTTTCTGAGAACTGCTGTACATCTGTGTTGCATGGAGTCACCCAACTTCTGGCCCCTGTGATCAGGTATTCCAGCCCAGGATGATTGGACCACATTCCACAGCTCTTCTCTATTTCTTGGTTTTGCCTCAGAAACTGCATTTTTGATGTCACCCCACAAGTTTTCTATTGGATGAAGATCCGGGGATTGGGCTGGCCACTCCATAACGTCAATCTTGTTGGTCTGGAACCAAGATGTTGCACGTTTACTGGTGTGTTTGGGGTCGTTGTCTTGGTTGGAACACCCATTTCAAGGACATTTCCTCTTCAGCATAAGGCAGCGTGACCTCTTCAAGTATTCTGATGTATTCAAACTGATCCATGATCCCTGGTATGCGATAAATAGGCCCAACACTGTAGTATGAGAAACATCCCCATATCATGATGCTTGCACCACCATGCTTCACTGTCTTCACAGTGTACTGTGGCTTGAATTCAGTGTTTGGGGGTCATCTGACAAACTGTCTCCGGCCACTAGACCCAAAAAGAACAATCTTACTTTCATCAGTCCACAAAATGTTGCGCCATTTCTCTTTAGGCCAGTCAATGTGCTCTTTGGCAAATTGTAACCTCTTCAGCACACATCTTTTTTCCAACAGTGGGACTTTGCGGGGGCTTCTTGCAGATAGCTTGGCTTCACATAGGCGTCTTCTAATTGTAACAGTACTCACAGGGAACTTTACACCTTCTTTCATCTTCCTGGAGCTGATTGTTGGCTGAGTCCGCGCCATTTTGGCTATTCTTCTATCCATTCGAATGGTAGTTTTTCGCTTTCTTCCACGTTTTTCAGGTTTTGGTTTCCATTTTAAAGCATTTGCGATCATTTTAGCTGAGCAGCCGATCATTTTTTGCACTTCTTTATATGTTTTCCCCTCTCCAATCAACTTTTTAATCAAGGTACGCTGTTCTACTGAACAATGTCTGGAACGACCCATTTTCCTCAGAATTTCAGAGAGAAATGCACTGTAACCAGCATGTACAACATTTGCTGCCTTCCTTCCTTAAATAAGGGCAATAATTGCCACCTGTTTTTCAAAGAATGAATGACCTCACTAATAGAACTCCACACTGCTATTATTTTGAACATGCCCCTTTCAATTAGTGATTCAATTACACAGAATCAGCAGCATGCATGTCATGACTGTTGGGTCTGTTGGATTTCTATTACTCTACTACACCTGCTAGTTAATTATTTGCCATGTAGAAATATCATTTCTACCAAAAACAGTGACTGATCCGGTTAGTGATGTCTGACTGCTATTATTTTGAACACAACTGTATATGGCAGCAAAGTGGGAGGGCTTTAACTCAACCTCAACCTGCATGTATGCGTCCACGGGTAGCAGAGGTTTCTGTGCTGAAAATGCGCTCACTACACGCTCCCAGCACAGCGACAGCTGCCAGTCTCTAGTAATGATCGGGAACTGGTGGGACTGGCTCCTGATCATCTGACCATTGTGACAGGCAATCATACTGTCCAGATGATCAGGCATTCCTTCCTACCCCTTGGGTATAATAGCCCAGTTAAAGGGACACCATGGTAAGGCTTTTGGGGTTGGATGGCACTTCTATTTATCCCAGGCATAAAATCACCAAGAAAAAGCCAATGCTGGGGATTATGAGAGTCTTTCTTCAAGGCTATAAACACGAATTTAATCAATTTCATATCTAAATACTATTAAGACGATAATATTGAAACAATTGCTATATATAGGCTATTAAAAAAAATGAAAGAATAGGATAACAATGTATTCTAAACTAATTGTAAATTAAGAGCAATGAGTTCAAATCTATTCGGTTTGTTTAGTAAAAGGTTATTTCTAATTTTGTTCATATGTAACCTATTAAATAATGACATACTGTATGACCTTTTAATTTTATTCTCATTTCTATATAACCTATAATGTTTAATAGGTTATATATGAATGAGATTAGAAATAACCTTCTACTGAATGGAACAAATAGAATTCAATCATTTTAATGTATAATTAATTCATAATTATTATGCTATATTCTTGTAAATGCTATAGTATTATTTTTACAGGATATTCATATTGTCCAGATATGATAATCAATTGTATTCACAGTTTTATATATTTATAACACTAAAGAAGGGGGACTGTTACAACTTCTGAAATGTGTTGGCTTTTCCATAGTGTTTTGTTGCTAAGTTTCTTTTAGCTCTGGTTCACACCGATGAGACATCAGGTCAGGGGTGTATTTACCACAAGGCAAACAAGGCACTTGCCTAGGGCAGTATTTTTCAGGGGAGCAGCACCTCCCCCCAGAAGAAGGGATGAAAGTAGGGACACACGCGCCAAGGGAGCCAGGTGGGATCCGAGAGAGGCTGTGGGCTGCTTGATGGTATATGTAGAGCCCAACTCTCGTTCCCGGGGATGTCCGGAGCTGTGAAGATGAGTGTCTCTCTATCACCGAGGGGGGGGGGTAGTGGAAGGCTCTCCCGGGTGGGAGGTAAGGGGTGTTATTGGTTATTGTCAGGCTCCCTCCGCAGGAGGGGCAAGGGGGGGGGTTGTCTTGGTCAGTGTCCATGGGGGCAGACAATTTGTGTGTGGCCTAGGGCAGCACAAAACCTAAATACATGACTGCATCAGGTGCGACATGCGATTTACAAATCACACCTAAAAATCACATCTAATGTATTCCTATGACACTGTCTTAATCAGTGCGATCTGAAGTAGTGCGATTTCAAAAATAGTTTCTGCAATACTTTTTCTGAATTCATTGCAACTTGTATTGACTTCTCTTAAATGAAGTTGAAAGTCGCAGTGAAATCAGAGGTACAAATATCACTGACCTGCAACTTTGAAATCACACTGCTTCAAGTGAAGTAGCCTGATTTCA